AAATCTTTTTTGTCTTTTTGAGCCAGCAAAATTGTCAGTCTATCATGGCAACCATTTTTTTCCATTTTATAAAAAAAAATGAAAATCTCAGTTTGAAATTCTTTTAAAAATCAATTATCATTTTTTCAAAACTTATTTTAAGAAAATCAGAAATTATGTTTATTTAAAATATTTTGAACCAAGATTAACTTCTGTGTTGAAAAGATGTAATTTGAAAATAAAACAAAGCTGGTCATAAACTTTTGCGTCACTTGTCAGGTGATGAATGACATTGACGGATTACATGAAGATAATTCCTTCTACAGAAGGAGAGAAGTGAAGTTATTTACATTTAAGTGAACAAATTATTTACCTCATTATTTTTAAGGAAAACTTTCAGTGCTCTAATTTTTTTTTTTTTTTTTTTGTACTTCGCTTTCACCTTTACGTTTATGATGCTTGAAAATATAAAAAAATTAAAATAAGACTGTTAAAAGTGAGATTAAATTTCATAAGAAAGGTATCTAATTAATTTATAGGTACCTTTCTTATGAAATTTTATCAGAAGTGTACATAAAATACTATAATTTTTTGCACATTTACTACATTTTAATGTGTTATTTGTATTTCCATTCATTTTATTATTAATTTTGATATTTCATTCATGGAAAAATGTCATAACTGAGATTAATATAAAAAGATCATCATATAAATTTCATAAGATGATGGTGATACTTGTAGGTACCCTTTTCAGTTGAAATTGAAAAATCAATTTAACTTCTCCACGTGTTTCCCAAAAGTGAAGGCCTTTAACAGCGGAGAACAATGCTTAACTCAAATAATGCAACTTAATTGTATTCTGGTTGGTCTTCTGTACTTTATAATTACAGCCTGATTATAAACATAAAATTAGATTTCTTAATTATTGCGGGTCTTCTGATTAGTCAAAACAATACAATTTATACTCTCTATCTACATCTATCAAATTACATCTCCCCAGGACACTTAGGAAAGCAGATGCAGCTTTTAACTAATTTTATGATATTTTAACAACTTAAATGTAAAAATCTATTATAATTAAAGAAATAACAAATAATTGTATTAAAAATTCATTTTTCATCGAAAAAATTTTTTGCTTTCAGAAAACGTCCATATTCATAAAAACAACTAAAAGCAAATAAAAGCATTTGAAATTAAATAACATCTTTGTTTTATTGAGTTTTGTATGTTACAATTCAGAGCTGATTTTCAGGTAGGGGGGTCCAATTAAAAACAAAAAAAAAAACGATTTGCATTCCTCAAAGCCTAATGTAATCATTAAAGTGGACTCTATCGAATTTCTAGAGTTTTCATAAAATTAGTTATGGAGTAATAAATATAAAAAAAAATATTTCTGCCATGATTTTAATAAAAAAAAAAAAAACATATTTATAATAATTTTGATCATCTGTGAATAGTTTCTGAAAGTTTCATTAACATCAGACAATTATTTTTATTTTTGCAAGATTTTCCAAATTAATGTGTGTCATACAAAAAAAATGTGCTAAAAATTGTATATGTTATTTTAAGAGTTCTAGTAATACAAAGAGAAACAAGTTTTTTTTAATCAAAATTTAGAATGTTCTAAAAAGAAGGAAAAATTTTAAAAAAATAATTAAAATTTCCTCTTCATAATAACATAAATATTTAGACAATAAAATTTTGTTTTTGTCAAGTTTGGCGTCTTTTCCATCATGCTATGCTCTTTTTTTTTTTTTTTTTTAGAAATCTTGTGGAGGTACCTATAAAATGATAACTATGAAAAATATACTGGTTCTGACAAGATTAACAAAAGTGAATGTTGAAAATTCAAAGAAAAATTATATCCTTCATATTGATATTCATTTTTTTACTAATGTTTTAGTGTAAATTCATAATGGATGTATACTGAGATGGAACTCCCCCCACCCCAAATATGATCTCTAAGATGCTAGATTGTAACCAGTTTGAGCCACCTCTGCAAAAGAGTATTTTATAAAACCATGAATAATTTTTTTTTTTTTTTTTACCTATTGTTTGGGTTAATATACTTTGTTTTTTATAAATGCCAAATATAAAATTGGTCTTTTAGTTAAATTTTAATTAAAAATATGTCACCAAATAAGATGTGTCAAAAAGGATGGTTATTCCCTTGACACTGCAATGACTGTATACACTTTTGATAAAACTAAGCCAGGTAGCATATTGATTGAAGCATAAAAAATGGCCAAGATAGAAATATTATTCTAAAAAAAATTATGTAATAATGAAAATCTTTGAGTTTAGCACTTTGCAAAATACTAAATTTTACTAAATGTTTTTTAGTTCACTAAAGTTGTCTAGCAAGTTTTAATTAATTGATGATGTAATGCTTTTCTTTTAATTTTTTAAAATCTTTTTTTTAAGTACATACTAACTTTATATTGTATGAAATGTGTGTACTCACTCCTATAAATAATACTTTACAATTTTAAACTTTCTCACCTATGATTTTACTATGATTGCCAGTTGTTTATTTAAAACTCATGTCTAATTTTAGTTGAAAGCAGTGATAGCTATCAGGCAGCTTTGTGAAATATTTGATATCAAAGTTCAAAATATCAAATAAAATCTCTCATGTGATTAAGAAATTTTGCATTTGTTATCATTGGACATTAGTAGGTTCTCAGTAGTAAGTCCATCTCTGTAATAGGTGTAATGCAGGGGGTTACCCAAACGTTTTTCACCTGACCACAAAAAGGATCCTAAAAAAAAAAAAAAAAAATTGATATTTGGTGTCATTTTATCTGACTTTACAGAAAGAGTTGAATTCTGTGGAGGTCTCTTATTTAGGCTTTTGGCTTGTTCAGGAGTTTGAGAGTCCCTGTCTTTGCATATTCTCAGTATTGGAAGCTCTCCTGGCTGCTGTTTGATCTGGGTTTTCATTTGCATGGGACTTTCTTTTCCATCTCCTTGACTCTTTTGATTGCAATCTTGTCCTTTGTTGGCAGATTTCTTCTTGTGAGGCATATTGCTGCCGTATGCAATAGGCAACAATAAACTACAGAAGAACTCAAAATTGATTGCTAAATTTAAGTATTGCATTAATGTTTTAAGCTTACCTTTTAAAAGCTCAATGATAATTCATCTGACAACACTTAATTTAAAGACAATTTGATGTATTGTAGGTCCTTACTTTCCATACAAACAATTACTTTTATTTCATGGATGACTTTTACTGTATTTTGCAATTTCAATTATTAGCAAATGTATTTCCAATTTATAAAAATGGTTATGCAAAAAATATCTCTGAAAACAAACAGTAATGAAAACTTGGGAATCCAAAATTTCAGGATTGTGTGTCTGGATCCAGTTCAGAATATTTATAATTTGCTCCTGGATTTGGCCTGATTCTAAAATGGTATGATATGTTGGGCCATGGCCTCTTGGAGTAAAGTTGAAAAAGTGTGACACACATTTATTTATTCATTTAAATATAAAATATATATATATATATATATATATATATATATATACACACACACACACAGTAGTTGGGATACCCGGTGTTGCTTGGAAGAAATAACTTCATCTTAGCTTTCATTGCTGTGTTGAAATTCAATAACATGTTGAATCCTTGTTTTGATAATCAATCTGATGCCATTTCAAAGACATGGGTGTCTAGATTTCTCAAGAATATGACTGGATGTCTTCCTTTTTCCTGAATGAGATTGGTTGGAGAGAATTATGTACAATTTTTTTTTTTTTTTTTTTTTTTTTTAACAGAAAATAATTATAGGATGGATATTCTGCTATTAAATTAAATATATTATCTATGTATTTTATCAAATTAACATCAGTAATTATTTTTCTTGAAATCAGAAAATAATTACTTCATTTAAAATAATTTGATTTCATATTGCTTTTTAAAAAAAGTATTTTATGCTTAAATTGTTTTTTGTCAGTAAAGACAGATTGATTTCATGGAAAAATATTTATTCAAAACTAAATCTCTCTCTCTCTCTCTAAAAAGTTGTAAACCATCTTTCATGTCCTGTTTATAATAGGAAAATTATATATAATATAATATATAAAAATATAAATATTTTTGAAAGCATGAATTTTTTTTGAAAATTTAGTAAAATTTTTATTTATAATAAAAAATGATTCAACAAACAATATTTTTGAAAGCATAAATAATTTTTAGAAAATTAAATAATTTAGTAAAAAATTTTATGATCCCCACCCCCAGCATGTTTAAAATGATTGTGTATATTTAGTTAGAATAATTTGTTTTTGTATTCATTTGTAAAATTTAATATCTAAACTTTTAAAAAACATTAATTTCAATAAAATGGTAAAAGAGAGTAAAAAATTTCCCAATTAAAAATATTGAAAAGGTAACACATATGTTCTGATTGTAAAGCTACTCAAAATTCCCCCCCCCAATATCTAAAGGAATTTATTATGTTATGTTTTTACAATTTTTGTTTTGAATATTTAAATAAAAAAAAATATTAAACTTTTTTCAAATAATTGTATTTAATATTCTTCTTTTAAATTTACTTTGTTGTTTTAATATTCATTTTTTTAAAGTTAGGCTTTTATTTACTATAGATATGGAAATAAATTCAAGAAAATAGAAATTTTAAAATAGTGTTTCTAAATTATCAGCAGAATTAAACAGTAAAAGTGAACAGAATAATAATTATTCCCATTTGTTTTTACTTTTGAATTCTGAGACGTTTACATGGCTAAAAATGCCCTATTTTAATTTTAAAATAGCTGCACAAATACAAATCATACGATGATACTTTTTTTTGCAAAATGTGGGTTAGGTGATACTGTGTGTGTGTAATATAATATATTTTGTCGTTAATTATTGTAGTTTTTTTTAGTTTTAGTCAGGCAACTGCCCTTTATTTATTCTTTATATATATATATATATATATATATAATAATTTTTTTTTTTCAGTTTATTTATTTTATTTTATTTTATTTTATTTATTTATATTTTTTTAAAGGTAAAAACTGATCCTCTGGTTACTTTCTTTGCATTTTGTACCCAGTTCTGTTGCTACTGGTGGGAATAACAGCAACATTTAATCATGGCATCCCCTCTCATTCCGGTCACCCAGAAAGACTCTTTTGAGTTGGCTGGGATGTTGTTGGATAACCACACTCAGGAGGACGACAAGTTCCATGACCTCTCCAGTCTACTTCGTGTCGCAGCAGATAGTAAGTATATCTCAATAAAACCACTTTTTTCTTTCTTCTTGGACACTTTCAATGCACTGAGCCAGCCTTTATGCTTAATTATTAAATTAAAATTGATGTTTAACATTTTTCTATTTTTTGCAAATGAAGCTGGATGAAGACGCTGATAAAAATGTCAGATGTGGATATGACCACTGTTATCTTTGTGTAATCTATTTTCGCAGCCAAACATGTATGACAATAAGGCTGTTCATATGAGCAACTTTGTACTGGCCATTTGCTGCTATTCACTACTGATTTGTTCTGTTACAATGGCAATTTTGAAATAGAAAAGTTTGTCTAAAATGCCTAGGATAGTGTGTCAGCAAGTGGGATCAGGTCATATGTTTTAAAGGGTTTAAATCATACCAGCTCTTCTGGGGGTGCAATCACTGAAAAGAATTACACAGCCAAACATGTATGACGAATAAGGCTGTTGATATGAGCAACTTTGTACTGGCAGTTTGCTGCTCTTCACTGCTAATTTGTTCTGTTACAGTTTTGAAGTAAAGTTTGCTTAAAATGTCCAAGAATATTTTATCTGCAAATAAGTTTTGGGATTTAGTGGGTTAAATTCATTCATGATTATCATTTTTTTTTTTTTTTTTTTCTAAAATTAAATTACATTTTAATTTAAGGGTTAATAATTTTTTCTAGTTATTTTTAGCTGTTAACAAATCCATTTTTTTTTAATAGAATACAAGTGAGGATTTGCATTAAAAATATTTTTAAAACTTGATATTTTCAATTGTAAAGGTTGTTGCTTTATTAGCCTTAGTGTTTTATAGAGATCTTGAATATCAAGGTTTTATGCTTGTATGCCAAATTAATTTCTAATGTGTGATTATAGATAAGGGAAGAAAAAAAAAAAACTCCAGCAAAATCAGAACAAAATATTTTCTAATTTTTATTTTTATACATTAGAATTTAAAATGTTCTGTTCATCATTTTTTATTAACAGACATGCCTTGTGTAAGTGGATTGCATGACTATGATTATCCCAGCTTCCTCAATTCTGGCCTTGGAATGGATATCTTCACTGAAATTGGTGACATTCGGAAAGTACCTTTGCCTGCCGAACTGGTTGAGCATTTTGGACGTATCCTTTTCTATGGCAAAAGTCAAGCTTTTGAAAAAAATTTTCAATGTGTTAATTCAAAAATCTTCAATTTTCCAATTCAATATCCATTTATATAAAAAAAAAAAAATGTATAAAATTTAAACATGTCATAAACTGTTGACTCGCTTAGTTAATCATTGGTAAAGTATGACTTGGTTTTGTTTGATCTAAATATGTACTATTTATCAACCTAAGCTATCAACTTAATGAACCACTTCTATTAGAATTTTAATTATATATATATATATATATATATATATATATATATATATATATATATATATATATATATATATATATATATATATGATTTTTTTTTATAAGCAATTCCTTTCTAAGCAACAATGCGTAAAAATTCAAGTCTTAAAAAAAAAAATAAAACTAAATACATTATTTTATTCTGTATTCAAGAATTCTACCACTTCTATGAGTTACAGTGAAATGTCTTTTTCTGTTTATTTGATTGATTTATAAAAAATTTGAGCAACCATTATAAATAACTTGACATGTAATTCTTATACAGAAATAAAGCAATGTGAGTACTGGTCAAAATCCTAAATGGCTTATAAAATAATTATGTACATGGTTCATCAGTAAGTCTAGCCTAAAAAATCATTTTACTATCATTTGATTCACCTATGCTAGTGTGTGTGTGTGTGTTTTCTGACCATGAGACCTGGATTTGGATCTCACCATGGCTGATTTGTCAGGAAGGAGACTTCCTAATGTTATTTGTAAAGTGCCTGAAAAACATACCCTGGGTTAATCCAAGCTGTGTGATTGAAATTGAGTAGACGAAACACTTGGGGTTGTCGATAGCTGTGTTAGTACAAAGTCACATGTCATCGTAACTGAGGTTTGAGTGTGTTGGCCTTGTTCAGATTGTTGATTACAATAGATAACACACTTTCTCCCAGAAACTGTAACTAAGGTCTGCTCAGCATAGTTGCAGTATAAAACACAGGTGGGCTCTGTGGGTGTTGAACAAACACAAATGTGCCTGAGCAAGTGTCTGCAATAAGGATTGGCTAGCCACCCTAATAGGCGGGTATCCTCAAATATGAGTGGCCAGCTATATATATATATATATATATATATATATATATATATATATCGGAAGCCGTTGGTATAAACCAATGGCTTCTGTTACCAATTATTAGCATTTAAGTATATTTGTCGAGATTTCATAGTTTATTTTGTTCAGGTTACGTTTCAACTGTTTTATGTATATAGTTTCAAGAATTTTTAGTTTTTGTTTGTTTTCATGTTTAAGTATAGTTGTGTTTTCAACTAGGATATATATTGTTGTTTTAAATGCCTAAAAATGTTTGAGTTATCATTCAAATGTAGCGTTGTGAAAGTGAGTTTGTGGTGTGACCAACATAAATATTATTTAATTCGTTGGAGATACAATCTACCAAAGGGCACTTGAATTTGTAGACTGTTGGTTTTTGCAAATCGCTAACCAGGGGAGAAGAATAATTGTGTGTGTGTGTGTAAAATAACAATTAATACGGCAGAAATTTATATAAACAAGGATCAATTCATTCATAACGGATCTGGAGGTTTTTGTGTACTATTTGAATTGTTTGCGATGATGGATGTCTCGCCATTTAAACCATTAACCTTTGCATTAGTTTTGTGTGAATAATTCATGTATTTGTAAATTGATTGCATCGTTTATTGTAATATATATATATATATATATATATATATATATATATATATATATATATATATATATATATATAATAATTTAATTATTTCTAAAGATACATTTTTCATTTTGGTGTCATCAGGGAACTAGCATATTAAATTGGTTTTAGTCTGATTAACCATTTGTAACCAAACCATTAAGGTATAAACATTGATTTTTGGGGGAAGAGTTTGTTTTATATGGTGGGGAAATATGGTATTTATTTTTCAACATAATATCCTTCCTTTTGTGTACTCTTAAACCAATGTTTTGACATAACTCACATAAACTGAATATTATGCAATTAAATTTTCAGATCAAAATCACAATTAAGTGTATTACTTTATAGGCTTACTGAACCACCTTAACATAGCATTTTTAACCCTTGTTTTTTTTTTGTTTTTTTTAATCTGTTATCTCTCTTATGACTTTACTGTTATTTTCTTGACTTGACAAAACCAGATATGCAATGCCACTGTGCCATGGGTTTATTTCCTGAAATTGAACGTGCATGGTTGACAATAGATAGTGATATATTTATATGGAGATATGAAGATGGGTAATGTTTACAATCATCTCTCTCTCAAATATCTGGTTGATGTAAAAGTTCTAAGTACTGTCTTTTTACACAGTGCTAGAGAAATCTTAGAATTGTCTTTGTAATTTACTCAATTCCTTAATGTTTTTCCAGTCAGTCAATTGTAGTCTTTTACAATCTTTGAAAATTTAGATGCCAGTAAAATGAGTTTCATGTACATGTACAGAAAGGAAAATCAGTCAGTATTTGAAGACCTTGTCTTTCTCTTTCGGATCAAGTCATTTTTGGATGAGGTTGTCATTGGCCTAAGCAGAAAAAAAAAATCTTATCACAAAAATCCAAAATGATGACAATTGTGATTAGATTTAAAAGGAATTCTTTTTAATGAATTGCTGCAACCTGGAAAGATTGTTACAAATGAATAATTAGCTTGTTTGAAAGCTACATTTTCTGAATGCGGAAGTTCTGATTTTTGTAGAAGAGAAGATGACTTACCTTATGGCTGCCCTGACACCTTAATTTAAGAAAGACAGTGTCTCAGAGCGAGAAGAATTGGTGAGAGAGGTTGGGTGTATGCAAATTTTTTGCAAAATCAGCTCTGCATAAAACGCACCATGTGAGAGACGCAGTTTTTTGCTTGCGAATATGGTGCTACTTGTTAGTTGGAAAGAGGTTACTTGGGTCAGTTCCACTGAAGCTATTTCAGTGAAAATGAGAGAAGGAAGTTTGACAAACTCATTTCTGAGTTCGACAGCTCTGTGTCTGGACCATTTGTGATTGAATGGATTGAGCTGGTCTGTAAGATGTGCCGGGTAAAACATACAGAACCCTCGGGTGCTTTAGAGTAGGACTTATTCAACTTGACGTGAGCAACAGGACCCCTAGTGATGTCGTGGACAGAAAATTACTTGGTTTTGACCTTCTGCTTGGATTTGATATCAAGAAGTTTGGAGGAGTATGTGTGTCCCAATGATGGGACTGTGAGCATTCCTCAACTTGACTGACCTTGTGCGCAGTCATCACCATCAATGACCCTGACTTCTATGTGGAGTATGACCAGAACAGGAAAATTTGGGTTGTGTCTTGGAAGTGGTCTGGTGACCAGACACCACTTGTGTTGAAGAACTGGACAGCTGAGTATCCAGTACCAAAGCCGCTCAGGGAGGAGTATACTTGTGAGCTACGAACATGGATTGATAACAGCTGGCTACTTCTGTATTCTGAGGAAGAACTTGGGCCCCACTTAGGGCCTGATCTCTTTTAATGGCTGTGCTACAGGAAAACAAACTGGTCTGTCTGGTCATGGATTATCGGGAGCTCAATCAGTATGTTGATGTGCACACCACTGATGCAGATGTTTGCGTGCAAAATTTGTGAGAGTGGCGACAGGAAGGATCAGATGTCACTGTGCTGGATTTGTGCCATGCCTATTTGAAGGTCCATATTGACAAATCGTTATGGCCCTTTCAAACAGTGCAGATAGATGGGCATAGGTATTGCCTTAGCCATTTAGGTTTGGGGATTCAATGTGGCACCGCTAATCATGCAATCAATTGTGAATGCCGTGGTCACACAGGACAAGAACATCCAGATGGCCATGTTCTTGTACATCGATGACATTTTTGTCAATGATAGTATATGCACTGCGGCACATATAAGGGCACATCTTCAGCGATTTGGACTATAAGTAAAGATCCAGAGCGTTTAGAGAGTGGCACCCGTCTGCTAGGATTATGTGTCTGGGAGGAGCAGGGCAAATTGCAATGGAGTCGTCAAAGCATCTTCTTCCTGTGTGGGGAAATCGATTGGGCATTTGCCAGTATGTGGCTGGTTCTGCATCTCAATTGCATTCATAAAATGGCGTGTGAACTCTGTGACAACTGGCTGTGACAATGAGATGTGGGACCCACCCCTGACTCAGATGCTGATGGACATCGTTACTAGATTGGCACAGAAGGATCTGGCACAAGGTGATTGGTGTGTTGATGGATGTGGGTCGATACAAGCTCCTTGGCCACTGGTGTTGTTGTGGAATGTGGTGAAACCCTTGTTGAAGATCCCTGTTGGCTGTGATCAGAACACAAAGACAAGCATATCAACCTGGCAGAGCTTGACGTGATCTTGAGAGGCATTAACATGGCACTGCAATGGAGAGATGACTGTAGTTCACCTGAAGACTGACTCAAATGTGTGTGCATCGATGGGTTCCTGATACGCTGTCTGGAAAGTCTTGAGTGTGCATGAAGGTGGCAACAGAAATGTTGATAAGATGTTGGCTCAGCACAATCAAGGAACTGGTGGAGGGATATAAATTGACTGTTGGTCTCAAAAGCAGCTGTTCGGGGGGTGGTTGGAGAGGGTGAAGTATGCCAATCCATTGACCCAGTGACAGTGCATTGGAAAGCTGGACAGTTGGATGTGTGCGAGAATTGGAGCAGGGTGGGGATGGACATAACACATTATGAAGGCTGACATTACCTGACTCTGATAGACTGTAGCCCTAGTTGGTTTTCCATCTGGCAACCATTACCACATCAGGACACTGCCAGCTTCATCCAACAGATGGAGTCGCCATTTGTTGAGAGAGGGCCATCTGCCAAGCTGCTCATTAACAATGGTGATGCATTCTGTGGGGAGGTGTTTGCGAGGTTTGCAGAGAACTGGGGTGTCTGACTTAGATTCCGGAGTGCCTATCAACCATCAGAGAATGGTATTGTGGGGAGATGCCATTGCACCATCAAGCGTATTGCTGCTTGTTCAGGATGTTCCATTAAGGAGGTGTTATATTGGTATAACATGATGTCAAAAGACGATGCAACAGTTTCATCAGCACCAGCTAATGCTATATATAACTGTCAAGGCTACATAAAGGGTATCGATGTTGCACCACCACTTGAATACATAGATCCTGGAATCTACAGGGTGGGAGATGTGGTATGGGTAAAGACCCCATATGATCAATGTTTGACACAGTTCAAAAATAGGGCTAGTGATGGGTGTCTACAGCCACATTCAGTTCTCATTAATGGAACTCTACACCATATCGGAGACCTCTGCCAGCGTCAGAGGTCTGCATTATCGGAAGATGATGGTATTTTTGTCTGAAAGCGACTCAAATTAGCTGTTGTTTTTCAGCTCGAAGCCATATTATTCATTTGGTCATTGGCTAAAAAGGAAAAAAACATAAAGGCTTACTGGCAAGAAGTTAAAAACTACTATGAAATAAATTCAGTCCGGTCAGCAAATGATAGTAAACGGACTGCTCCGAGTCAGATTTTTACAACTGACAGAGGACTAGCTTAATTTTGGTGCTAACGAATATGAATACCCAGATGAAAGATCTCCACTTTGTAAGGTCATCTGACCACATCAAAGAGTGAAGTCTTTTTATCTAAATGACCCAGAATGGGGTGTATCCAATTCTCATTCTTGATGGAACAATTTCTTCCTTCCAAGAAAGTCTTGAAACTGATGCCATTCTCCTAGAATGGATTTTATTTTTGGAAAATTTGTTTTTTGGCTGCTAGTTCCGTAACTTTTTCCACTTATTTAGAATGTATGAGTTTAAAGTTGGTTTGAACTCTGTATAAGGAATTTTCAAATTTGAAATGTTGATTTTATTTATTTATTTTTTATAAAATTTTTTAAGGTGTGTGTGTGTATATATATATATATATATATATATATATATATATATATATATATACACACACACACACAGGTATGTGTTTTTAATTTATTTTTATAATATACACACAGTCTGAATTAAAGTGAAATAGACATCTGTGCTGTGTTGTGAGAGGTAATTTCCATTTGTTTTGCAAAAAAGTTAGAAGCTGAAATATGTGGCCCTTTGAAATCATTTTTATGACTCCTATATTTAAACATTGTATTTTTTTAATAACTCTAGTGTTTTAAATGGAGAAACAATTTAAACTTGAAATTTGATCATCTTGTCAGCAAAACAAGTAGTTTCATTTAAATAAACACAAATTCTCTCACAAACCAAATGACCATGTAAACTTATATTGTGTATATTATCATTAAATTCAGTTCCCAAAGTACAAATAAAACATCTGCATTAAAAATTGCATTATTGTTTATATATTTTTGGATAAAGATATGATACAGGTATTTTTTTTTTTTTATATTCTTCTCTGTAGTTTATTTTCATACATTGTATGTGAAGCTGTTATACTAGAACATACCTATTCTATTGTTAATAGACTCTCCCACAGATAATAAGTAGTAGTAGTAGTAGTCGCCAGGAGGCTCAGTGGGCTCAGAGTGAGTTGGTGAGTCAGTCGATGTCGGACATTAAAGTATCAACCACCACAACTAGATTGCTGCATCATTAACTATTATTTCAAGTTCCTAACGTTTTGTACGTCGAACCCTTTTAGGACCGACTTAGTGAAATACAAGCCTCCACTGTGAAAACTACTCTACAACAGAAGCTAATTTAAGTTATTGTTCAACTTGTTACAAATTGAAAAGCTAGATTTGAATTATTTTGAATGACATTAAAAGCTTATTCTAATTTTTTTTTTTTTTTTTTCAAGACAAGATGTCCTCTATTATGATGGAGTTGATGAAACTATTTTGTGTGCTGCTTTGGTTACTCCTAAATCTGGTAATTTTTTTTTCTCTCTCTCTCTCTCTCTGCCTTACCTCATCACTTTCTTATTTCTTGCACCCCACAATAAATTTAAAAATATTGCTTTATCAACAGAAATATTACAATTTTTAAAATTTGAATTAAAAATAGATAACACAGAAGAAAAAGCAAATTAAATATTACTACTAATGTTGTAAATGCTATTTGTTAATATATATATAAAAGGTTGTTAAGGATTCTACTGATGTAAGTTGTGGGGGGGGGGACACAGTCAAAATTTAGCCTTATGTGGATTTCTAAAAGGATAAAAAGAAATGATTCAATATTAAAAAAAAAATGATTTGTTAGGCTTTTGGTATTTTTAAATCTGACCTTATCTTTGAGCTGCAAATTATTTATACTTGAAACAAAGTGATTTTGATTAAGACAAATTAGTTTTGTGGTCATTTTTATCATATTGCAAATTTATTTTTGGTATTTAATACAATAAATGCAGAATTTTATAGATATTTCCATGCACTTTTGACAAAAAAATCCCATCAAAACTTGTATAAAAGTTAATTTTTATGCCATTAGTAGGAAGATACATTGGAGAAACTTTTGATATCAAAATTGGTCCTCTAGACAGAACCAGAGATATTAAGTTTTGAAAAATTGTTTATGCTGTATAAAATAATTTGAGTGGGAAAATATAGAAGCCAAAAACACCCAGATTTTAAAAGTCAGTTATCAAGATTTCAATAAGGTTTTTGTGCTTACTCATATTTTAAAATGTTTGTAGAAATAATTTATTAAGTTAATGAAGCACATTTTTATTTAATTTCATGAAATCTCAAAATATCTTTTGGACATTAAAAGTATTTGCATTTGTAGAAGAAAAGTCTCTGGAGAAATTAAATCAGTTAAAATTTTGAAACTTCAACTGAAGATGAATAAATCTGCTATTTAAAAATGTTTAAAAATCTAAAAAAAGAAAAAAAATGTTTTAGAATTATTTCTTTGTTATAATTTTTATTGTACACTTCAGAAATGGTGTTATTAAATAAATCTGTATTTTAGTAATTGGTTAATCAAGATTAATTGAACAAGAAGTTTTTTTTTTAATAAAATTGTTTCTTTGGATATCCATGACACTATTTAGTATATCAGTTTCTGAATGCAAACACTGGTGTTCCTCACATTTTGGTCACCTCACCCATGTTTCGACTGTCCCATTTAAACAGATTTTTACCAATCAGGACATCATTTTAGCAATTTTGATAATACTACAGATAAAGCCCATTAAATTCTGTTTTAAGTTTGCTAAAATATTTTTTTATAGAAAAAATGTTTATATATATATATATATATATATATATATATATATATATATATATATATATAGAGACTAAGCTTAAAATTAGAAAATGTTTTCCCTATTTATACTTGATATATATTAACTGTTGTTTGATATTTTTTCCTCTTATTTCAGATGTTTTCCAGTCATCTATAAAATATATTTTGGTTCTTGCAACAACAGTTGAAATTGTGCTCCTCGGAGTCCGCTTCACAGATTCTTCTGTTGGTAGGTTGACCCCCGTCAGATGTGAATTCTTTTTTTGTCTATAGACCAATGTAAAAGGTGACAGAATGAAAGCATTGTCTATTAATCTATTTTCTTTTTTTTTTATGTACAAACAAAAATAGAACTGCTTAATATTACTTGATTCATATAACTATTTCCATTCTAAAAAAGAATTCTATTTGGGTTTCTGTTTTACAATGACAATTTCATATTAGACATAACTTTATGAATGAAATAATATGAAAGAAAAACGGAAAATTCACATAAAACAACCTAATGTCAAACATCTTATACATCAGAAATTGAGTCAGAATTCAGTTTTAAATGATTCCATTTCATTCTACTCATCAAATCATAGGAAATTATTTTTTATATCCTAATATGCTATAAAGCATCTTTTGCATTTTGTTTAAGAAACATTTACAGTTATTTTACACTTTTAATAACCAAAGAAAGCAAATATCAACTTAAAATAAAAGCATGTCCCCAATAGAAAAGCAAGTGAAAATATTCTCCTGTATTTGTGCAATACAAAATTTATTTGCTTTTAGTTTGGAACAAACCTTAGTCAGAACCATTCTTGCATAATCCTAATAAAATAAACTTTGCAATATTCAGTTTGAGTGGTTATTACATTTTAATAATATTGAAAATAGTAATATTAAAGTATATTGGTGAATATTTCTTTTATATTTAACACTTTTGTTGCTGTGTATATTAGATATCTTTGAGAAGCTTACATTATCTGCTTTATGTTTTTGAGACTCCATGAAATGTAAACATCTGTGTTAGAAGCTAACTAATGCTTAGTGCTAAACTCAAACCAGCATAGACATAAAGTAGTGCACGATACGGCCTTTTTTTTTTTTTTTTTTTTCCTGATGTATTTTTATAGTGTGTGTTTGGGAGGTGGGTGTTTAGCTTAGTCTATACTGCAGAGTACCTGATTGAAATCAAAATGGCAGAGACCATGATAAATTGCCATAAGCATCTTTATAGTCATTCATTTTAAGTAAATAGTGATTTCCTATTTTCTGAAAATGTACAAGCACATCTAAGCAACAATTCTATAATGACCTGGTTCAGCGGGTTCTCTTACATATTGTTTATTGAATTACAATACACTTGCATTCTATTGAACTTTTTGTTTATTGAAGTATGCTTTTGTTTATTATTAGTTGGGATTTAAAACAAATTATTGTAGACATATTCAAGTTTTAAAATTTATCAATTTTTTTTTATTACTATCAAATTTGTAAAACTCCTCTATAAAAATAATCATGTAAATGTATATGTACTAATATGAAAAAGAAAGATTTTCACTAATATATGCAAATATTTTGAGTCTGACAATCTTGGAAAGGCAGGGAATGACTTTCTAACTCATGCAGAAAAAGGTGCATTGGGGAAAAGAGGTAAAGAAGTACTGCTATAGTGCATCTTGGAAAGTGTTAATTTGGGTAGTTATTATATTAAAACTCTTATGTAGGATAATTATATATTTAGTTGTACTCTTGTGTTCAGGATAGATTTTTACTTTATAGTTACCTTTTATTTATTTACTAGTGGGGATACCTGGCATTGCTTGGAAGATCTATGAATAATAGTTTATTATTGACAATTTAGTGATATTCTTCAGCCATCATATGGAAAATAATTTTTTGCTCAATCTTTAAAAAATAAACTTCATTGTGTGTTTTTTTTTTTTTTTTTGTTTGTTACAAAATTACTAAATTTAGGAAAATACCTCACTACCAATACCACACTCGTGGTGAGGTCTTGGGGGCTGCGCATCCCCATATTTTGATTCGAAAAGACACTTTATTTTTCGATTTAAATACTAACATAAATACTCTGTTAATGTTGTTTTCAAACAAATCAAACTTAGATAAAAGTTTATTCACTTTTTTTTTTAAATTAATAAAAAAGTAAATAATCTTAGATTAAGATATAATTAAACATGTAATTTAATTTTTTTTTTTTTTTTTTTTTTTTTTTTCAAGCAAATACATGAGCCTTACTTCTTAGAAAAATAATTTACTATTTATTTTGGAGTGGAGTTTAGATTTTTTTTTTCTAAATAAAGTTTTACTCTGTAAATGAATTTAATTACTATTTTGAAAGAGTAGAATCAAGCAAGATACATTGAGAATTTATCTTTTGAAAAGTGATTGTTTAAATTTCAAGTTATATTTGTATTTGCAAAGAAAAGAAAAACTAGTTAAATAAAAATTAGGAGAAACAGACATGACTTATAGCCAACATTAGTCATGTTGAATATTTGTTTTACAAATTTAACTATATTTTATTTAAATTAATTTTTGTTCATTTACTTTATTTAGATGTTTTAGCTGGACACACACACTCGAATATCTGAATAACTAAATATTAAATTTTTTTCAAATAATTATATTTAATATTATTATTCTTTTAAATTTACTTTGTTGTTTTAATGTTTATTTTTTTAAAGTTATGCTTTTATTTACTATAGATGTGAAAATAAATTCAAGAGAATAGAAATTTTAAAAATACATACTTTGATAATGTTTAGCAGAATAAAAAGTAAAAATGAGCAGTAATCCAATTTGAGAATAAGAATTCTTACTGTTCATTTTTACTTTTTAATTCTGAGAATTTTGAATGCATTCTAATGCATTTTAATTTAAAACTATCTTTGTAAATACAAATCGTACAATGATAATTTTTTACAAAAATCTGGCTTGGGTGATGAGTCTATAGATATTTACTTTGTCATAACTATTGTAGTTTTTTTAGTTTTTTTTCCACACATACATACAGCACAGCTGTTTAAAACCCTTGTTTTTGTCATATAGGAAAATCCAACATGGCGCGTAAACGAAATATGCGGCAAAAAATCTCATTCGTCAGTAACATTTTAAACACCTCATAGAATGTAAAGTTCTTAAAGAAAACCTATGTCAAAGTGTTTTCCTGAATCCTTGATGACTTGGCTGTCCGAAAATGATAATATCAAGATGAAATAATGGAAACTGACCGTGAAAAATACAATTATGCTAACAGGTTTTCGATCAATTAGTAAACTTCTGGACCTTTTAGGGCGACCTTATAGGATCCAGACGGCTATTTTTGCACATGGAATTATTCACTGGTAACTAATCTTCGATTTGGCTGTGGAAAATGTCTTTCGGCGGTTAGCATTAAGAAATTATGCACAATTTTCTGAGAAAAATCCCCTTTTTTAATGAAAAATATTCATTTTCGCTTCAAAATAACATCATTCAAAATTCATTCCTTTCTCTTTCATTTGGCATGAACATCATTGAATAAAAAGAAAGGCTGATGGGAAATACAAAAGATATGCGGCGAAAAAAAACAATGTCGTCTGCTAAGTGTTGTTGTCATCACCCGGGTCACGGGGTGTTAAAAACAAAACAAAACTCATCAAGCCATTGTTCAAACATAGGTTATATGAAGCCCTAGTAATTGTGAACCCTTTTTTATTCACTCTTTGCTTTTATCTGGGAGTGGTGGGTTTTATTACAACTTGTTCTAAGGTTTGCCGTCCGTTTATTGCTGGCTGACTGGCTGGCTGGCTGGCTGGCTGTCTGGACTTTGACCTAGACGTCAAAGTCAATTAGGTTTATTTTCCCTTATCGCTATTTTTAGGAAAAAAAAAAACTTTTGGTTTCTGGTGGTTAGGAATTGCAGATAAATCTCTTGCCTTTTACTAAAGATTTCCGGGGCCAGGTGTTAATTTTTTTAACCCTTCGCAGTCATAATTGAAAATTAACAATGGATTTTGTCGCATTTTTTAAACCCCTAGGAATGTTGATTTCCTTCAAAACTCTCAATTTTATGCCTGAAATAGTTTATGATTTAGGCTTTCTGATTTTCAAAAAAAAAAAAAAAATTTTACCATAGGAAACCTGAATTGACTTTATTTAAGTTCAGTGGGTCTGTAGGAAACCTCAAACAGCTGTGACAGACAACTGCCCTTTATATATGTATAGGTTTATTTATTTATAGAAATGTTAGTGTCTCAATGTAAATATTTGGGGAAAAAAAAAAGTATATAGAGAACTGTTAATCTTTTTTTTTTTATGTCTCTAATTACTTTTATTAAGCACACAGTATTATTTGATATGGGTATTGATAATGCAGAATCTTTCTTGATTTTATGTTGTAAAAGCTTTAATTTTAATTCTTTTTTTAAAAAGGCATAGTGACTGAATGAATGATTTTTATTGACAGCTTCCATTGCTGGTGAGTCAAATCGATTAAGTGCAGGTGAGATGCATCTTATTACCGAGCCTCTTTTTACTCTACCTTCTGACAATTTACACATCATCAGCATTGTTGGCATGAATAATGGACGCATCTTTATGGCAGGCAAAGACAGTTGTCTTTATGAGTTGGCTTACCAGGTAGGAAAAAATTTTCTTTTCTTGATTGGATTGAAGATATTAAATTTAAAAAAATATATTACAAGATCTTGAAATGTTTATCCTTTGCTTCTTCCCTTAATTTCTTTTTGGTTAGTACTTGAGTAATATGTGTCTGAATTATGAATTCCTATTCTGAGTAAAAAGAAAAATAAATTCTCATTGAAAAACTTGTTTTAAAAAAATTGTCTTGAATTATCTTTGATGTTCGGCTTCATTTTATAGATTAAATCTTCAGAAGATTCTGATGAACATTGAGGGTGGCAGTGACTTGTTATTTGGGTTTAACATTGTCAATTCTTATTTTTAACAGTTTGTACCTTTTTAGAGTACAATAATCGTCAAGGCAGCCTTATGATAATGTGAGATAACATCAAAATGACAAAGATAGTTTATGATAATGGGTGATAAAACCTATTTAGAAAAAAAAATTTATTTTTTATCTTTACAAATGTTTATTAAACTTAGCTTAATCTAGCACAAGACCAAAATGGGGAGAAAATAGGGGATGGATGATTGAATTGTAGCAATTCTCCAAATGGAAACAAACTGCCTACTTTCAACTCTTTCAAGTCTTTCAACTTATATTTTGTACTTGTATGGAGTTTGTATTTGAAATTCATAAAAATAAGACAAGTTTTGAAAGTTTCTGAAAAAAAATGCAGGGGGTTACAGGGACTGAAAGTGAGAGAAAAGACTGAGTATAGGGAGGATTGAGGAAAGGACAAAAAATGAATGGGATTCAAGAAGATAGAAGAGGGTGATTGATGTTGCATTTAAATTTTGGAGATTGTAGTTATCAGGGAAGCAAGTAAATTGAAGGGAGTTCCATAGGTGGGGAGTGCAAGAAAAGAAAATGTTGGAGTAGCAGTTGCATTTAGATATTTCAACAGTAAATGGGTGGGACCTAGATGCCAATCTTGTAGCACACTTAAATTCATGTAGTCAGACACCAGGGAAAAAAAGCTTGTCAGAGCAGTTGCCATGAAAATATTTGTAGAAAAGATAGAGGGAAGTCTTGACTTAAAATAAAATTCAATAGAATTAAATTTTTACTGAGTAATCAACAAATAAGATTGTTTAAAACTAAATAGCATTACTACTAATAATGATTAGTGTGTGATCGAGTGGTTAAAATGTTTGCTTTCTGACCATGGGGCCCAGGTTTGAATTTCACCATGTTTGATTTATCAGATTTCCCTGATGTTATCAGCCTGAGGAAGCAATCCCAGTGTGTGGCACTGTTGGAAAGTGTGTGATAACTACACCTCTTAAGCCATACCTTGTGAGTGAAATTTCATAAATAGAGTTGTTTGGAAGGTGCCAGTTGTTGTGGTAACACAAAGTTACATGTCACTGTGACTAGTGTGTTTGTGTCTACTGGCATTGATCAAATGCTGATCATGTATTCTTGACCAGAAACTAACTAAAGTCTGCTCAGCCGGGTTGCAGTATCAACCACAGGGTAGCTTTTTAGGTATTGAATGAACATAAATGTGCCAGAGTAAGCATTTGCAACATGGATTGGCTGGGTAATGGCTTGCTACTTGTTATATGTTCTGGCATGGGAATCTTTGGCCAGGTTTGTTGAGCACTTTTGCTGTGATGCTATTTTTCATGGCATTGAGCATTTTTTCAATACACTATTAAATGTATTCTGGCATTTCAGTCATATGGGTATTCCCTCTTCAATGATTTTAGTTGGTATGCATATTATATGTATTCCCCAACTACCCTTATTATAACACCTTTGTTTAGCTGAGGTAGGAATAAAATGCCTACATCACAGAAAATCTGATGTTGAGCACCTGAAAAATGGATTCATATGTCAGGAAGCTGATAGTTGTAGTCAGTCAGACCATTCACCAGGAAATTATTATTTTTGCATATATGAAATTTGTCGCTTAGCTGATTGATGTTACTTTCAGGTTTCATAGATGGCCATCCAGAAATCACTCGTCAAGGGTTATACGCACACCCACACACATATATATTCAGGCTAATGTCCTCCTCTTTGTTATTATTATTTTGGTGTTTCAGCCATTGTGTCCTCTCACCTTCTTCAGAAATCTATCGATCTGAGTCACCTTCATAAAATTTGAATTGAACCCTTATTTAATCTGTGGAGAGAGATTATTCTTGTTCTGTTGTTCATGTCTAGGGATATCTTGTTCTTATTTAGTACTACTGGGTTATTGTTTCCACTGAGTCCAAATCTGTATTACTCTGACCAGAGATTGAACCCTGTGTTAATATACCACCAAATTTATGAATCAATGCTTTAATCCAGTAGGCTATTGTTCTAAAAAATGTGTACACATCTGAATTATTAGTTCCTGCTATGTCTATTTTCTTAAATATAACTTACCAGTTTTAGAAGAGTAAATACTACAAATCTTAGCTATAAAAGCATTGACATATTCATTTTGTTTAAATCATTCAATATTTAGAAAATGTCTAATAAACATTTTTGATGACCTCCTAGGATGTATTCATAAATACAATGATGAGTGTATTTTTGCTTTTGGGTGCTTTCCAAATGCCAATCTTTTTTTTTAAACAAATAACTGTGTCAGCCTCACATACCAAGGGATGATATCCGTGTTAACACAGATCACTTGAAAACCCAGGAAGACTTTGTATTGACCAACCTTAAATATTTTATACGTTTTGATGCATGTAAGCTGAATGAAAATATCTGAAGTTGTTACTTTTATTTTCTTGTTATTCACAGGGCCAAAAGGGCTGGTTTGGAAGACAGTGTAAAAAGATAAATCATTCAACCAGTTATCTCTCCTACTTGGTGCCTAGTTTTATTAACATCTCACTCACAGAAGAAGGTAATTATGCTGTCTAGTAAGAAAATTATTCTACTGTTATTTGATCCATGTTGATGCTGACAATTTTTTCAAGTTAAAATTTAATCCTTTACTTTTTTTATAATGTATGCATGTAAATAATATGTTCACTTAAAATGAATTGTATGCATTATTAGTTCAGAATAGTTTTAATAAATTTATTTTGCTTGTTGTGGGTATGGCCCAAAATATAGACTTGTAAATGTGACCCGAATCAGCAGATTGTATTTGCCCTTCTACACACAAGTCTCTTCTCTTTATTCTATAATTATTACAACATAAAAAAATAATATTGAATCAATAAATCACTCTTTTTTTTTTTTTTTTTTTTTTTTTTTTTTTTTTACAGATCCGCTCTTGCAGATCAGCATTGATCAGTCACGCAATATTTTGTACACTCGTTCTGAAAAGGGAACCATTCAGGTAAATAAATCAAAAATGGCTACTTTTTTTTTTTTTTTTTTTTACCCCAGCCTCACCTCTGCAAAAAGTTGGGTGGGTCTGACATGTCAGGTTATTTTTCTGCTTCAGCATTAGGACAAATTTTACACCACGTCTGTTTAAAGTATCCCCCCCAATCCCTGTCTTGGTATATGAGGCCAGAAGCGAAAATGTCACTATCTCCCTTAACATTTCCCTTTCAGTATGCATTAAGCATCAGTGATTGACTCGAGTCCTCCCCATTTTGGGTAATTGGAGAGATACTGCCTGGAGGAGTAGGATACCTCTGGAACCAAGCATATTATACTTACCCCACCCCTCCCAACAATTAGTTCTTTTGCACTTTTTAAAAACAGATTTTTTGTTTTCTTTTCTGAGTGCAGTTTGACTTTGCTGTAATTTAATTTTCAAACATTGTTAACTGCTGTTGCTTCTTAATGCTAACTTAATAATCTTTATGAAAACGAGGAAAATCTGTGGCTGGTGTTGACTTTTTGAATGCTTTTATTGTTTTAATGATTTATCAGTTTTTGATTTTATTTCTATTACTTTTTATCACAATTCTCAAATTATTATTCTAACATTGTTAACATTAATAATCTTGACATCGTTTAGCTAAGAAGTTTATAAACTATTATATCTTGGAATATTTATGAAATTTCCTTTTTTTTTTTTTTTTTTTTTTTTTTTTTTAATGATTTTTGTTTGATCTTCATTTTAAAATTTTAGCATTCTCTGTTGTCCATTTGAGTTTGGGAGAATTTTATGTAGCTAAATACAATGAGTTGTTAGCAATTTTTATTTCTCCTGGACAAGTGGTCACCCTTAGTTTCTGATGAGTTCTAGCTGAAATTTTTACTTATTTATGATTTACATTTGGATATTCTGTATATTTTACATGTTACAGCTGCTTTTGTATATTTAAATTGAAATCAATGTATTTTATTCTCTTCCTCAGATTTTTGACTTGGGTGAGGATGGTTCTGGGATGAGTCGCGTTGCTACAGTGCCTCTGTCAACCACTGTACAGACTGCCAGTAACATTGCTGGGTAAGCTGCTTTCAGCCTCTCCTCAAGTTGTTGTTTTCTTTAAACTCTTTTTAGGTGAGATGCTCTGTTTGTTGCTCTCGGTATGAAACATCTATTTTGATGAGGTCACAAGAACTGAGCATTAAAATTAATTTTTTGGGGGGTTTTTTTATCGGGTATATTAATTTGTCATGTATAGTAATTCATCATGTCTAGTTTTTCTAATTAAATTACAGATGCTGATAATGAATTAACCAGGAAATACTAAAACTTTTTGTATATCTTTAGTTATTTGTTTAATCCATTTTGGATTACTAGATTTTATCTTAAAACATGGGGATATTTATTTAATAAATTTTGTCTTTTTCAGTACAATTGATCCTTCCCTTTTCAAGCCCATTATCCACATAGCAGCATTGACAGCCTCTGAATCGTCAAATATTCACCTTGTGGCCATTACGCAAGCAGGTATGCAACATTCTCTATGAGTCCAAAATAAGTTTTAGGTTTATTTGAAAATTTTGCAAACTTTATCAATCATATTTCTATATTATTTAGTTTGACAAATACTCATAACAATTAAAATTGATTGAATTTAGAAGCAGTTAGTTTGGTTGAGTTGGAAAAGTGCCATTGATGAACTGAGCAAGGATTGGTTTGTGGACTCAAACACTACAATTTACTAGTTAACATTTATATTCACATCATGTTGTGCCCGCAACCTTTCTTGTTGATCTGAGTAACCTTCAGGGAATTTTGAACTGAACTGTTTATTTAATCTATGAAAGTAGATTGTTCTGGTTTTGTTGACCGTGTCCAGAGATACGTTGTTTAATTATTATTTAGTATTGCACAGTTAATGAATTTGCAATTATTATGTTGCTAAATTCATGAACCAACTCTTTAATCCATGGGAGTGGGGAACTTGAGACCTTGAACCACACATGGGCAATTTTTTTTTTTTTTTTTGAACAGTGAGCTGCATGAGGTACAGTAGATCATGAGGCACAGGCCACACTACTAAAAGAGTTAAAGTATTTATTTAAAGATATATCAAAGCTACTTCTCCAACAAAACCATCTGCCTTGGAAACGTGGGAAAGTTGTTTTTTTTTTTTTTTAAGATTCCTTGTGTAATTAAAAAATTGAAGTCTTGGCATAACATTTCACAGATGACAGTGTGATTAATACATGTTGCTGCATATGATTTGTTTCTAATTCCTTCATTTGAGTAGACAAAAATTTTTGTAAAAGAAGAACAATTATCATTGACATTTCCTGTTTCTGAAACAAAAGATATTTACACGTATGATCTTCCTTAGTGAAAATTGCCAAGGATTTAAAATGCTAACAATGTTACCTTTCACAAAAAGTTACAAAATTCAAGAAACATTGTGCTTAATAATTGTTTATGTATGTGGCTATGCATGAGAGTATGTGAGTGAACAAGTGAGAATAAAAGGAAACAAACATTTTAATAAACATTATTTTCCTCATGAAATTAAGCATGACATTCAGAAAGCTAATTGGGCTGCAGGTGGCCTGTGGACTGCATGTTTGCCCATGTGTGATGATTATTCACGCTTACCGGATTCAAAGCATCCAAGATGTTTTGCTTGTCAGGCTGCTGTTTTATGATGAATATGTGCATAAAACCAAGATAGACAGCTCCTCATTTCAGCAGCTGCATCCTTTCCTCTTGCAAGTTTGGTCCAAGAAAAGTACATTCTCTGACATTTGTTTATTTTATGCTGTTTGGCACGATTTGTCTAGTGGCGGTCTGCATGCTGATTGGTCAAGCTGGGGACTCTGATTGAGAACAAGGCCAATGGCGATGATTGGTGTGTTGGCCGTGTTTTTGGTCAATAAAAACGGTCTGGGACATTGGCTGGGAGGGCAGCTGGGACCGTGGTGACGTGCACTGTTATAGAATTTCGTATTAAGTTACGACTCTGTTTATTTTTGTCTGGAAACTGGACGCTAGCTTCGAACCTACCGCTAGAGTGAGCAGTGTAATTACCGGTGTCTACCGAAACGTGGGAGGAACACACTGAACGTCAACACCATGACTACCTTAAATGTAACCTACCTGCTGATGAGTGCTGCTGCCACTTGTTATGCTTGACTGCATTCCCCAATTGGATAGGTTCAATTGTTTACTGAATAAACAATTTATACTTAGAGAATAGAAGAAATATAAGCACCAAAACATTAATTCTATTTATTTATTTATTTTTTTTTTTTTTTTTATCATTATTTATTTTTTTCCCCATGCAGGTGTTCGATTATATTATGCTGCTAAGCCTTTTGGTCAAAAAATCTTTTCCCGCAAGTGTCCTACCATGTTGAGATTGGTTCATGTTCGTCTGCCTCCTGGCTTTTCTGCTAATGCTGCCCAAGGACGGCCAACAAATGTACGATTGGCTCATTACAAACGAGGTAAGCTACATTTGTTTCTTTTGCAAATGTCTTGGGTACTTGACATGCCTATTAAGTTTAATTTTTCTTCATGTCATGAATCTTTCTTTCTTTTTCTTTTTTTTTGTTTATTTTTATTTTTTATTTTCTAAAATGTTCATAAAACTTGTCTCTGCTACTTACTGAGTGGCAGTTTTATTTGCAAAATATCCCTAAAGGCAGGTGGGAAAACTGCAGCCTGCCTGATAATTTGTATGTATCCCACTAGAGCATTGTTTTAAATATCAATTAATAGATTTTTGTATTTTTTTGGTTACATGTTATATAAAATATTAATCTGTTTTACAAGAATAAAGACAACTATGAGAGAAACCATATATATTTAATAGTGTACTTTAGTTATCAGGAAACTCAGTTTCTACAAATTCAGCATATTGTGCTATTGTACTATCACAGGAGCACCTTGATCACTACACCCCCCACACTTCATGGACATCAGTATTCAATCACCGGCACAGTGTGAACTGACACGGTGATCTAAGTGCCTGTGCATGCATAAGATGTCAGTTTTGTACTTTTCTATAAACATTTCACAAGATTTATCAAGAATTTCTTATTTTGTAAAATATTTTTTCTCAGTTATACAAATCTCATTAATATTAGAAAATGTATTAGATATTAAATTAATTTCTCAAACATTCGTGCTGCCTGTTTGCAAAATGTAACCAGCAAATAACATGCACGTATATGATTGTTATTTATATTATTGCTGTGAAATTTATGTTGCTATTTTGATACAAGCCACATTATACATGCCCAATGATAATGTGGCTCTCTATGAAAAAATATTTGCCCACCCCCACTTTAAGATGAAAGATAATATTTGATGCTGTATGATTTACATATGTTATCTAATTTTATACATTTTTGTACAGTGAAAGTGAAATACTATATTTTTTCCAGGCACTCTATTAATGGTTCAGTCTCATTCTGAAGAAACAGATCTGTTATGGACGATCAGTGGTGATTGTTTGCCTTTCAACAATGTACTTATGGAGACCAAGGTATGATTAATCAAATAATTTCTGGTTAAAATCATTAGCAAAAAAAAAAAAAAAAGACAACTTTACTGTAGTTACATAAAATTTCTTACAGGCTTCTTTTCTAAAATGTCCTAATGTCTTGTATATAGAAGAGTAAATTTTCTTTATTGGCTGTGTGAATTGTGTAGTAGTAGTCATTTGGGAAAATGAAGTGCAATGAAGCAATCATTGCTTCTATTTGCTAATGCAATGAACATTTGGTTGTTGATACATGCAGAGGGAATGGGAAATTTGTGGCAGCAGTCTTTAATTTATACAAGTTGGATAATTTATATTTTAACTTGCACCAGAAACCAAGAAAATGGTTCTGTGGGGATATATAATGTGTGTGTGTAAAAAAAAAAAAAAAAACACAAACTATTTTCCTGGTAATGTGCAAGTTTAAATTATCCATGTCTGGGTACTTTCTGTTTTCATAAACCATTATCAAAAAAGTTTTTTGCTATGTCATTTTCATCGTTTTCAAACATGCCTTTGCTGCAGTTTGTGTTGTGTTTTTTTGGTTGGGGGCGTTATTAGTAAGGATTTCTTGTATTTGTTTTGCTGGTAATTTGTATCACTCTTTAACCCAACTTTATACACTCAGAGGTGCAAAAACGTTTTTATATATATATATATATATATATATATAAGATAAAATATCTGTATGCTAGAAAATTATTTTAATTATTTATGGAACTCTTAAAATATAATTATATAATATATATTATGATGAGGTAGTCTCTCAGGCTGTATCGGTTAATTATAAATTTTTGAATGAACTTAAGTTTACTATAATGAATATGTACCTTGTTCACTTAGGTAACAATAACAACATGGTGGTGATGAAAGAGCTTGTCTGTGAACTTAAAACAATTAATTCTGGAGGCTTGCAATTCAGGAATAAATTTTGGAGCAGCAGCTAAATAGTTTTTCAGTACACAAATAGAATATACTGTAGAAAAATGTGAGATAAAAACTGTTGCAGCTTTTCCTGAAAGGGGCTGTAAATCTAAACTCTTACTAAGAATGCAAAAAGAAATTTCAAAGACTTTGAATTCCCCTAACAAATGTTAATTTCTTAATCCCTTAATTCAACACACTCAAAATGAACCCTGTAAATATTGGCTCTCAAAGTTTTCTGTTTGATATTTTAAGTTTGAAGTATATCAAGAGTTAGCTGATGTTAAATTCTCTCTCAACACGCTACAAGGCTTATTAATTAGTCTTTTATATCCAATAGTATTTCTGATATACAAATTTATGCAGCTATGTAAAATGACAATCTACAGCATAAAATGTTTGATTTTTTTTTTTTTTTTTTAATTCTTTTCAGACAAATGCTCTTCTTGGTGGTAATACGTGGACCATGTGTGAGGTGCCTGTCTCAGATTCTGAAACTTACAGTGACTTTAAACAGCGGCCTGACCCCCCAATTGTAGTCACACAGCATAATGAGAAACCAAGAAAATTTGTTTTCATCAACTCTCAGGTTATTCAATTGAATATTAATTTTATTTACCAATGATTTTTAATCCATTAGGTTTTATTTATAAATATTGTCAAGTATTTTGTCTGACACATGAAATATTCTCTGTAAAAATTTTCCCTTTTTTTTTTTTTTTTTTTTTTTTTTTTCCTTCTATATAACCAATTCAATGTGATATCCTAAGTTGGAGTAATGATTGTATTTAATGTGGGTTAATTTCCTATAAAAAAGAAAGAAAGAAATAAACAAAACTGGGCTAAACTGAAGAGTAGATGGGTTTGCCCTCCTCCCTGGTCTTTTGAACAGGAGTAGAGGTCTGTCTCTTGTTCCCTGTTTAGGATTGGACTTCTGGTTCCTTCTAAAGTCTTTTCATTCTTTTTCACTCCAGTAGTCTCTTGTGTCTTAGTGTCATTATTGCCTTGCTTGGGATGAATTGATAAAAAAAAAAAAAATGGATATCTCCATAAATGTCAAATTAAAAGAAAAAATTGTTAGTCATTCAAAGTAACTTGTAATAAAAGATTAGAAATCAAGAATTTTTAAAAATTTCATTAAGTATGATAAAGTACCTATTTATGGATTTATTTTTACAAATTTTATTTGTATGAAAATGTATTGAATATTTGAGTAATGTAATGAATGAAGGAACTACTTATTCCCAAAAGAAAAATTGAGTAAACCTGATGTTGCTGTATTGTTTGTGCAGAGCTTCTATGGCTGAAAAAAAAAAATCCCTTTTCTTTTTTTCTCTTTTTTTTATTCAGCAGAACTTACAAATAGCTGGCATGAAATAACTTCTTAAAATATGCCCTGCCCTTTTTCTTTAAGGTGTGGTCAAATATACTGGATTAGAAAGCTTTGTTTAATGGATTTCTACACCATTCTTATATCAACATGAGTATTTATACAAAATCATTGCTTAAACCAAAATGTTTTTTATGATCACTAAATGAAGTAATCTCACTTATTAATAATATTTCTTTTGTGATATTCCCATTTGTTTTTATTGAAACTCTCAGGTTGCTATTCTGTAAACATTAAGCAAGCAATACTCCTATCACTTACCCTTGTGAGCCTGTCTTACTATGATAGCACCTTGCCAATTTAGGCTACAGAAAACTTATATTTAATGCTACTAGCATATGTCATTATAGTGGAAACTAGAAAAGAAAAAGTAGCTGTGTGGCTAAATTGGAAGGATTTCTGTTGCTTAATCAGTAAGATAGGCTGTTTTAATGTTTGCAAACTTACTATTTTATTAGTATTTACATATTTTATATTATTACGTGGTTAATGATGACAAATTGTTTTTATTGCATTAATAAAGAAATGCAAAATTTTTTTTTGGCTTTTGTACCAAAGTTTGTACAACACATACTTTGGTTTTGATGTGTCAGCCATTAGGAAAATGTTTTTTTTTTTTTTTTTTTTTTTTTTTTTTTTTATTGCCCACATCATTGGGAAAGGAAACTGACTGACATTGGTGTAACCTGTATATAGATTAAATGATTATTTATTAGTTGGTATCATAGTAAGTATATCTTACTAAGTTACATAAATTATGATAAAAAGGCACAAAAACTAAAGTTTTGTTGTACCAGTTAGAATTTTGTTATAGAATTGCTTTTTATGTGAATAATAATTTTTTTTTTTTTTTTTTTAAGGGATGTCACATTGTATCTAAACTTAGACCTGTTGATCAACTGAGAAGGCTGCTACTCTCATGTCAAGGACCTGAATCAGAAGAAGTGAAAGCCTTTTTCTCTTTGCACAAAGTAAGTAAATGATTTCAAGCAAGAACATTTATTTGGAGAAACCGAAACTAAAGTCTTCAACTTGATAGCAAATTTTGTTGTTATAAATGTAGCATGTCTTGAAAATGGCTTGACCTTAAGAACCTTTATCTAGCTGGAGGCAAAAATTGTCGCTGTAGAATTCTCTCCTTTGTAGCTCTATGCACATTCTGTCACCGCAAAAGGGTTGCTATAAATAAACACTTGTCAACTTTATTTCTGGTATTTTAAGCTGGAAATAGCCTATTACTGCTTTGGAATGAGGCTAAACTTCTGTTTTCTGACACCATTTTGAATTCTTCTATACTCAGCACAAGGTGTAACATTGATTTATCCTACGTCAATTTTGTCACAATATTTTGTAAACAAAAATGGTTGCATCAACATCCAACGAAGCTTTTATTTGGTAATCTTTCTTTGATTCGGACTCTGATGATGATTTTGCAGGCTTTAATCAAGTGGATAATGGCAGTGTAGTGGTCAGAAATAGAGATAATAACGATGCTAGTGACAGGGAGGAAATTTATGATAACCACTAGCGGCCGAGCAGCTACTATTTTCCATGGCTGACTAATTTTATGAAAGATACTGGTCCCATGGATGTACCTGATACCTTTTCTGAAGTTGGATTATTTTGTCTATTTATAAACAATGAAGTAACTTTATTTGTCAGTGAGACAAATAAATATGCTAGTCGGGCAAAAGAAAGAGGAAACAAATGCTGGTGTCTACTCATATGTAAACATGTGGAAGGACATCACTTTTGATGAAATGGAAGCCTTCTTAGCTATTTTACTTTTTATTGCACCCCAGAACTCCACAGGAGTAATAAAAGGACCAAAAGGAGTAATAAAAGTTAAAGTATGTTAAATTGTTAATGTTTTTTTTTATTTTATTTTGTGTTTTAATTTTTGTATTTTCAATGTCGAAACATGCGTGCAAAATGTAATGCATTACATCAAAATATTACTCATCCATTCTTTTATTAGTATACAAAAAATAAAATCTACACACACAATATAAATAAAGTTATAACAATTTTAAGAGTAGGTACTCATGTTTTTTGTGCTCTCAAAAAATATGCAGTGATTTTGGTAGAGTAAAGGTTTTAATAGATGGAAATTTTGCATATTTAGTTTATAGAAAATAATAGTAAATCATGAATAGTATTAATATAACTAGAAAGCCATACACAAATGTCCTCAAGGACACATGAAAGGCGTTAGTTAGATCTAGTGACAGGACCCAAAGAGTGTGAGTTCAATACCCGGTTAAGGCAGTGGAGAGCTTTCAAAGGGAAATTAGCAGGAGATAACTGATAAATGACATCCATTAAACATGGCACGTGGAACTAGAACAGTTTACCCCAGTGAGCGAAATAAAGGGTTCAGTTCGACATTCCAACCACCTGAAGAAGTCTGAATAATGTAAATAATGAACTAGAAAGTTTTGCTGAACTCAAATTTGGAAATTTAACTTATTAAGCTTAATATCTTCATGAATTTAATTTTTATCGATTTATGTCATCAGAAATGGAATCAGCTTTCAACAATACCTTATATTGGGTTGACCCAAACATTTGGTCTCTTTTTTTTATTAGATGGCATTAGAAATATTTCATAGTAACTAAGTTCATTCAGAAAGATTACTTTTGATTGTATTGTGACAACTGACTTATCAGTGTGTCTTAAAAAGAAAGTTTTGGTAGAATTGGCCTATTTTTGCTTATTGGAAGATGGAAGAAAATAAGCAAAAATTTTGACATATCGTTTCTTTTAAGAAAGGTAAAAATGCAACTCAAATACAAAAATGAGTTTTGTAGTTTATGGAGGAGGTATTGTAAATGATTAAACATGTCAAAAATGGTTTGTGAAGTTTCATGATGGAGATTTCTCACTGAATTCTGCATCATGGTCAAGTAAACCAAAAAAAAAAAAAAACAATCACTTTGGAAGAAAAAAAGATTCTTTTGTATCATTTAAATTGTAAAGCTCAGATTATTGAAAAAAATTAAAATTTTAATTTTTTTTTTTTACTTTTTCATTTCCACCTTTCTTATAACCCTTGTTGATAGAGAAACTGAGAGAATAATTTTCTCTGTTGTTTTGAAATTCATAAAGACTAACAATTTTTAGCTATTATTACTGCTAAAAATTGAACTCAAAAAAATGGGCTTTATGAGTTACCTAATTGCTCAAATATATAATAATGATTACTTAATGTTAAAATGAAAAGGAAGGATTATTTTTTTCATTTAAAATACAAAAATTACTTAGCAAATTTTCCTTTTTAATTTTTTGAGAAAGATGTTTGTAATTTTTTTAATCATTTTTCTTTGTTTTTAATTAAAAACTCAGCCTGACCAAGCCTGTGCTGCCTGCTTAATTTTGGCCTGTACAAGAGCCCCTGTGGATCAACAGGTAAAGTGAATTTTTACTTGAAACAGCCTTTCTTTAGAAGCAATAAATTTTCTCTGTATTAAAGAAATAAAAACAAAATCCCATCTTCATTTGAATATTTGGACTTTAACAGAATTTATTTCCAAACAGGAGACTTTAAAGAGGCTTAGACAATTTCTTTTCATAGACATAAAAATGGTGCTAGCAGTTCATATAAATTGGATGGTTTGTTAATAAAACAGAAAATTACAATAGGAACATTGAAGTCAAGAAGAGATCTTGAAATGTTTTAATTGTAATACTGCCCCTGTAAATTCAGTTGGTCTAAAATTAGTCCTGATAAAAACTATTTAGATCAGAGGTTTGTGGGTTGCAAGATAAATAAAATGGGTTGCTACAAAAAAGAAAAAATTCCTAAGTGAGAGAGCAAAGTGAAGAATATAAACAACTCTAAATGTTGCACAGCACTCATAAATCATTGCTAAATTTTCACCAAGGTGTGTGTGTATATGTATGTATATATATAATATATATATATATATATATATATATATATAGTGTGTGTAGTCTGTTCTCATTGAGTTTATGTATTTTGTATGTCAAACTCGTGGACTGTGACGGAATTTACCTTAAATTTGTGTTTCTAAAAGCAATAAATTTATATTAATACAAATAGATAATACAAATGCAATTCTAATTGTGTGGTTCATAAGAAATATACATAAAAAATGTCAATGCTAAATAAGTTAATCTAGTGAACAGTTTGTCTTTGATTTATTTCATCTAGGTATAATGGGTTGCAATGCAAAATGTGGTTCTTGCTGTGGGTTGTAGTAAAAAAAAAAAAAAAGAAATGTTTGAAAAATGATTTAGATAATTAAGAGAATTTTATAAAACAACTATTTACTATTAATAAAAACTACTTATAGATTTTTAAAGAAAAACAAGTTAAAATATTTTAGATATGATTTTTATTAACTAATTCTCTCTATTTTGCTTGGTATTTTTCAAAATTCATTTCTTTGAAACAACAATTTGGACCAGCATGCTCATCTTGGTGGTTGTACTCTCTGGTCTTCTTCTGGTGTCTGTCTTTGTCTGTAGTCACTTTATGGGAAATTTGGACCAAAATTCAAGAGACAACTGACCTGGGTAATTAAAGTGTTGACTAAAACATTAGGTTCCTTGGCAGTTTTCAGTTTAATTCCAGAGTCTGAAAAGTCGTATACTTTGGACAAAGCAACACAAAGGTGAATAAAACTGGTTATTATTGAATGATACGAGTTATCTTTCCTAAGTATGAAAAGCCGAATGAGACCAATCTACTCCCATGGATTGAATAATGGGTTCAGTTTGAAATTCCAGCAAAACATCTGAAGAAGGCCAGAATTTACAACAACAGAAACATGTTTATTTGCTCATGAATAGTACATTATGGAACTTGGATTTGTTTATGCTTAAAAAAAAACAAAAACGCTATTTTAAATTTATTTTTCTTCTATTGTAATATCTGTTTGCATTGTATATTCTTACAGGTAGCCAATTGGGCTCGAATGGCTTTCTTCATGTATGGAGGTTACCCACATGTAAAATTGTCAAATGAAAATGAATTTGGACCAGGTGGACCCACAAGTGTAGGAGCAGCAGCTTATAACAGCTCAGGTAAGAAATTATTTCGTCTTTGATGAGATTGGGGATTCTTTTAAGAAACTTGAATATTTTGAGATTTCTTCTCTAACCTGTTTTGCTTGCAAAAGAAATAAGTAGAAAAACCTTATTTGTCATGACTTTTTGGTAGATTTTGAAAAATTTCAAAAACTAGTGAAAATCCTCTTTTTATATGGGACAATTACTTTTCATAGTCACTTCAACCGCTTTGAAATATAATGGGTTTGCAAAGCATGTTAAGAATAGACATTGATATTAGAGAAAGAGGAAAGAATTGTTCTTGATTGTAGCTGCTTATACAAAGAACAGTCTCATAACATTTAATAACATGGAACAAAACTGAAAAGTATCTAAAATAGAATGATTTTTACCTTTGTTTTGAGGGGAAAATATTTGCATGATCTGACATTCCCCCACCTTAAGGGGATCATAAAGCAGACCCATTTTGATAGCATGGAGTCCACTAAGACAGCTGAGGGGGTATCCAAGAAGAATACTTCCATCAGTTCATAAAAGCATAAGAAACGGATGGAAAAGTGCATTAGACTCGAGGGGGGTTACTTTGAAGGGGAAACCATGGAATAGTTTTAAATTGAAATAAATTGTTTGTGACACCAGTCCTGTTACTTTTCACACAGAACTCGTACACACACACACACACACACACACGTGTGTGTATATATATATATATATATATATATATATATATATATATATATATATATAAAATATTATATTATTGTGGTGAACAGCCCCGTAGAAGCAAGCGAGCTATAGTGGCTTGCATCTGGTGCATAGGAAAATAAGAATCTTACCTTAACGGGTGGCATGTGACATTGGCAAGTTTTCCCCGTGAAAATGGCATTACTCTCCTGTCTAGCAGTTCCAGCAGTATGTGCGGTAACGAGGGTTTTTGTACAGTTTGGCATGCTTCCACCAATAGCAAGTCGTGTGCTGATTGGTCGAACTGGAAGAGGCTATTTGCCTGGGTAACTGAGAATAAAAGCAAAGAACGCTGATTGGTTGGTCGATCACAGTGTTGGCCTGATAAAAGAGGTCTGAAGCAGTGACAATGGGAGAACAAAAGACGGATTTACATTGTGGAGTGTTCAGAAAGCAAGAATGGTGAATTGAACCAGCGGTATCTTGATTTGTACAAGTGACGTCATAGCAATATAGACTTATTTAAACTACAATTTTTTTTATATGCAAGATATATCAATGATATATTCTTTGTATACATGGGTAATGATGACAAACTTACCCAATTCCTTATGACCCTAAACACAGTGCATGACTCAATTAAGTTTGACTATGAAAAATCCACAACATCAGTAACATTTTTAGACACCCGCATTTACATAGATGAAAACAGGAAACTACAAACGACAATACACACTAAAATCACCGACACCCACAACTATCTACATTTTAAGTCTTCCCACCCTAAACACCTCAAAGAGAACCTTCCCTATTCACAAGCATTTAGACTCAGAAGGATATGTTCCAACAATGAAGAATTAAATAAACACATTGAAAATCTGGAGCATCAATTCACAACACGTGGCTATAAACAACACTTAATCAGGGAACAAATAAATAAAGCAATTTCCACACCTAGAGAAGACACCCTAATGTACAAGATTAAAAATAAATCTAGCCGCATTCCTCTAGTAACCACTTTCAACCCCACTCTGCTTCCACTATCTCAAATAATCAAACGTCGCTGGGAAATACTACATCTCAAACCAGACCTAAAAAAATTGTTTAAGGAACCCAGCCTTCTTGCATATCATAGACCTAAGAACCTAAAAGAAATCATAGGTAGTAACTACATTTCAGGGGACAAGGTAATCTGTAATAAACTAAGAACAAAAACAACAGGATTTTCCCAACTATGTAACAACAAAAGAAGTTTATGTTGCAACCATATTAAACACATGAATTCATTCACTAGCTCAGTCATTAAATCTACTTTCAAAATCTACCACGATTCTAACTGTAGAAGTCATAACATAATTTACCTCCTAGAATGCACACTATGCCAGAAACAATTTGTAGGAAAATCTGAATGGCCCTTTCACTACAGAATTAATAATTATCGCAATCGAATTAAGTTGACTCCCTATGAAAAATTATTACCTGTAGAACAACATTTCTGCCTGGAAAAACACGATTTCAAAACCCATGCCAAATTCACTATAATTGAAAGAATAGAAAAGTTCAGAGCAGATAACATTAGAAAGATTTTAGAGTTCCATGAAAATAAGTGGTACAACTTCTAAAAACACAATATCCAGCCGGGCTAAACCATAAATTTAACAATATAGATAGTACTAATATATAACTCAACAAATCAAAACCTACCCACATTTGTCACCCACACAAGACAGACATGCTTACGGAGGTGTTGAGGCCTCACACTTATACACACACCCACACACATCATACTCACTCACTCCCTAATGAGCCAAATGATAACACACACCCACAGCAATACACACACTTACACATATACTCACTCACTCCCTAAGAATCAAATAACACACACACAAACACTAAACAGAGACACATCCCCTCTCCAGGACCAATAAAACTGTCAAACTGACCAAAGGAATTCAGAGAAGCATAGATCCATCCAGCTCTTATCTCAAATAACAACTTAAGAGACTGTTTGACCAACACAAGGAATGTTAAAAGATTCATGTTAAAAAGATAAAAAAATAAATGAAAACTACAGACAAAAGTTCATTTTCTCCATCAAGACATTCATTTCTGTAGTTTACTGCTACCAGCAAGCAGAAATATTTCTTCTCTCGATGATGGCCATTTTGGCCGAAATTAGTCGTGGAATCTAAATGAAATAATAATAATAAAAAAAGAAAGAATATTAATCTACAACCCAGTGTGTCTGAAGATTTTAATTTTTTAATATATATTTTTATTGTTCAAAAATATATATATATATATATATATATATATATATATATATATATATATATATATATATATAAAAAATATTGTATTTATATATACTTTTCCACAGTTTTCAAAGGTTTCTTTTGGTTTGTTAGTATAAAGCTGGGAAAATTGTAATTTTTTTCTAAGTTTTATTTATATATACAAGTGCAAATTAGGTTAAAACCTTAAATACTTCCTTAAAAATACCTTAAATATTTATTAGTAAAAATCTGTTGAGAAAAATAATTGTAAAGTAATTATTTTTTGGCCACTTAAAATGTTACATTCTATTTAAGGGTCATTGGAAATCAGGGAGGTAAGAAAATTGCATAGACAAAGGATTAAAAAAGAATAAATTTAGTCATTCACTGCAAATTCTATTTATCAATTACTGTTAATATGACTTGTGGTGATTGTAATTTTTGTTTATTTGTAGGTATTTCCCCAATGCAAAGTTCTAATCCCATGGGACAGACTCCACAGCAGCAACAATATTCACAGTCTTACCATTCAAGTGTATTAGGGCGGGGATCAACAACTGGGCAAGATGTAGTTTTCTCAGGCAAACACAACGGAATTTGTCTCTATCTGTCACGAATATTAAGGTAAGATGGTCCATTCTCCTTACTCCTTTCTATCACTCACATTTTTTAAAAAATTTTTAAATAGAAACAACAGTAAAGAAACAAACACTTATTGGAGTCAATAGAATTGAAATTTAGCTATTGTCTTTTGTGGTCATAAATTTATTAGTGTTATTGACAATTTTTTTTTCCATTATCACTTGTATGAATATATTCATCTATTTGTAATACTGATGCAAAAAAGCTTTGTTTTGCTGATTCTAATTGGGTGTGAATATTTTTTTTAATTTTTAGTTGATTTAGCAAACGCTTTATAAAATATTAAGCAGAAAAATCTTTCTTGAAACAGAATCTTTGATGTTTAAATAGTTTCATTCATCTTATCAAGTGATAAATTATTTTCATTCATCTTATCAAGTGATATTTTGAGTGATTCAATGTTGTTTTACAGACATCATCTTTCTTTGGTACAGTGATTTTTCTATATATTGTTACTGAAAATTGCTTGGTGTGATGTTTAGTATCTTTTTACATTGTACATAAAAGAACAAATAAGAAACGTTTATAAATTTATCATGAATATATGTGAGAGAGTTTTTTGCATACAGTTTAAGACTTACCTGGAATCTCTTTGTCTATTTTTAGGCCAATCTGGGATCACCTTATTGTAGATGAATATTCTTGTAAAACAGATGATGGTTCCCTTGTTTATGTAAGTAAATTTTCTTTCCTTTAAAAACACTCTGTCTGCTTATGAACACTAATACTACTTGATATAGCACAGGTTAAGACTGGTGCATTATTTATTTTTTTTTTTTTTAAATTTACTGACAGTAATATGTACTAAAAGGGGGAGCTAATTGAGATAAATAAGAAAATGATCTGGGACTTGAAAAACAGCACATTGGTAAAATGAATATTTTATGATATTTATATTTTTTATGCTTTTTTTTTTTTTTGAGTTATCAAAATTTTCAATATTTATATTTGTTTATTTATGTACAACTCTCTTATAATTTCTTGTTTGTCTATATTTCTGAGATGCGGTATTATGTACATTATTTACATTATTTGGACTATTGTCCTCATCTTTGTCGCCATATTTATCACAACGTTTCGGCCGTTGTACGCTCTGGCCTTCTTCAGGTGGTTGGAATGTCGAACTGAACCCTTTATTTTGCTCATTGGGGTAGACTGTTCTAGTTCCACGTGCCATGTTTGATGGATGTCAGTTATCAGTTATCTCCTGTTAATTTCCCTCCGAAAGTTCTCACTCTTTGGGTCATGTCACTGGATCTAACCAACGCCTTATATTGCAACTTTGTTGTTATCATTGCTTTTCTCTGGCACTCCTTATTACTGATTCCCATATTGTATTTATTTCTATGCTTGGTCGGCTCAGGAGATTTTTGTGGCCTAGCATATGTGCTGATTCGAATTTTCCAATGGTGTTCCTTGTCTATGATCTCAACATGATCCCACAGAGGGCGGTGATCTCCCTTCTCTCTCCATATGTGGTCAGCCACACCTGATTTTTCTACTTCCTCTCATGTTACAGCTTTCTGGTGTTCTTGAAGCCTTACTTTGATGGGGCGGCCTGTCTCTCCTTTATATTCCTTTCCGCAGCTGCACGGGATAGCGTACACACAGTCTTTAGTCATGTTTAGCAATGATAACAAAGTTGCAATATGAGCTCTGGTAAAAAAAATATGCAATGATAACAGCAAAATTGCAATATGAGCACTGGTAAAAATGGTTGCTGAAGACATTAGGTTTATAATACCCAGAAATTCATACCCAGATGTTCTCAAGGGACACATGGCACAGTGGATAAAGGCTTAAACACTTAATATATGCAATGTTTATGTACATAAATTATATATATTCCAATGTTATCATAGACAGAGATGGTAGTGAGGACAAGTTCTCACTGTCTATAAAATGATCCTATTTCATATGTCTCAAATAGCCTCAACTAAGTCAACTCAGTCCAGCTCCAAGTTGGAGAAGGGACAAAGTCTGACCATTAGTGCCACATAATCAGCTGTTTTGGGTAGTTGGAGTTCATCAACCTGATACTGTACTCCATTTAAGGGAAGGAGAACCTTGATTTTTAAACTTCCACTGCCTTGGTTTAAATGCAGCCATATCCAAACACAGATGGAAGGAAATCTGGACAGAAAATCCAAGGTGGTTGGCTATGAACACTGCTAACCTTCTGATAACTCTTGCAGCCAAGCTGGCTCCAAATGTAATGCTTTGTATCACTTTGGATCTTGTCAGTATGGACAAGAGGGTTGGTGGGGATGCATGTGGTCAGGGTAGTGCTCAGCTGCCATATGCCATCACCCAGGCTTGCACCCTAAAGGTCACTCCAGTTTCACCACTAAAGGACTAAATTTTGACCTGACAGGGTGCTACCATTGTGAGATAAATGGATACCTACTGAATGTATATTTCAATAAACTTAACCATTAGTAATCTTACTCGATTTATGCAACCATTTTAATAAGATTAAAAAAAAATGTTTTAAAACTACTTTATCAGAAATTTATCATCACATTAGAGTGATGACATTTTAATTGGGCTGATTCAGTTTCCCCAAAGAAAAAAATTTCTTTGGTTTGTGTATTATTAATGTTAAGTTTTAAAATATGAACATTCAAAATAGAACATTCTTTTTGTCTTGAATTCTGTTTTCACTGTCTTTTTTTTTTTTTCTCTCTCTTCAGTTGGTATGCAATTTCACAAGTGAACAGCTTGAGCACACACTCTCATTAGTGCGAAACGTTTCTGATTTCATTGATTTTAGTTCTCGACTTGATCCTCCATTGGCAACTGAAAGGTGAGTTTGAAAAGGAAGTAAGATATAGCTTCATGGAAATTACTGTTTTAAGAAAAAATATTTTCCTCATTAATGAAACTTTGGTATTTTAATGTTCAAATAAGTTAGTCAAATCACTATTTAAACATTGGTTTCAGTTCTTTTATACAAATACACTTTAAAAATGAACATTTTAGAAGAATGTATATACAAAAAACATATGAAACAAAGGGACGAAAGAAGGATATAAAAAATTGTCTAATTTTATATGGCCGATTCCCTGTTAGTAATCCTCACACTTTTTTTGGCAATTGTGCACATTTTTGTGCTCAATTGACTCTGAAGAATGATAACTGGTTAGCCCTTTTTTATTCATTTGCTGTTCCTTGTTCTTTCACTTTTTGTTTTTTTAATATTTTTTGTATATATTTATACATACTTTTAACATTTTCATTTTTAATGCATAAATAAATTTTGTACAACTGACAGATTATTTACAAATGCACTTATTTTCTTCAAGTATTATTCATATTGTTTGGCTTGCATATGAAATTTTGGAGATATTTATAAATGATGAATCTTGTTTGTGTGTTTTTTTTTTTTTTTTTTTTCTAGCCCATCTAGCAATCATCTGATGCCTTTTAGAATGGCAGGTCCACAGTTTGAAGGTCAGCATATTGATGAACAGACAAAGAAACAGTGGCAAAGTAAGCTTTCTTATTTTTTTTTTTTTTTTTTAATATTCTGAAATGATTTTTTTTTTTAAATGTTAACTTTGGTTGCAATATTCTTAGTTATCAATTGATAATAAGATCTTGCATATAAATAAATTGTAAATTTTATGACTGAACAAAAGTTAATTTTTAAAACTGAAGCAGCTGAAATTGTTTTAATTCATTTGATGTTGTATTTGTTTTTTGTTTTTTTTTAATCAGTTTCTAAGCTTAATTCTTGATAGTAAAATTAATACTTAGAAATCTATTTTTATAAGTTTAAGAAGCCGTTGTTATTATCATCTTTTGATGGCTTGTGATGCATTTGAATATGTGTTGTTTTCATTTCCAGTTTGAATTTTGAAATTTAATTTTTTCTCCTTCAGTTGAATGCCAGAATATGGAACGAGCCTCACTACAGAATGTACGAGAATTGGCCATCCAAGTTGAACAAGTCTTAGGTCTCCTCAAAGTATTAGTTGATCACCAATTCCACATGTTGGCTCAAAAGATGACTTTGGTTAGTTGACATATTTTCTGTTCTTATTTAGTGCAAAATTGATGCTGCATGACAAATGGATAGGGAAAAGTCAAAGAATAAAAAAAAAAATTAGTCAGGGAATTTTTTGCTGTTTAGAAGCTTATAATTTTTTGATGAGATATAATGCTCGATTTTATTATATCAAAAATAACTCATTACTTTAATGCATCTCTTGCATATTAGACATCTTTGTTTTGCATCTTGTTTTAACTTCAGTGTAAAAATTCCTAAATATGATATTTGTTGCTTTAATTTAGACTCTTGTTGTTTTGTTTGAACAGGATCAACAAAACCATTTGAAAACAATGACGTTCAAACAGCTGGTCATTTTAGGACGTGATGTAAGTAGATTATTTATATTTTTGGTATTTTTTACGTTGAGCACAATAGGTTGAATATTATCACCAAAAATGTGAAGTTTTCATCTAAAAACACTATTTTTCCACATAATCATCACCACTGGTTATGTATTTTTTGAGCAGCATTAGCATTATAATTGGAATGATCCCTGAAATTCACTTTTCATTAATTTATTATTTAATAGATTTTTGTTAGTCAAATTGTTAGAAGTAGATTTTTAAAATGTTATAATTAAAAATTTTCCTGTATTTTTACTGAAGTACAGAAATTTTTTTTAAATCCTGATTTTAATAATTTTAAAACCTTTAAATTTCCAAAGTGTATAAAAAGTTAAAAATTAAAATAATTTGATACACGTGTTTTTTTTTATCTTCTTCTAAGTACTTTGTATTTTTAATTTATTTGTACTGATCTGATATTTAGAATTTTCTATGGCTTACTCAAATGAATGCAACAACAGAAAACAAAAGTTATTAAAGATGAAAATGATGTTATATTTATTTATATTTTAGATGTGCAATGCCTTGATCACCAGTTTGATTGATCGTTACCTTCATGATAATGCAACAATCGATGTTGTTAGCAGCACACTGCGTAAAATCTGTCCACGGCTTTACAGCACTGATGATGAAACCTGCTCCAAAGTAAGTTTTATGATTTTTTTTTTACACTATTAGTGTTGTTTTTGTTATCTGCTTTGAAGAATTTAAAAGCACATAAAGAGTAAAGAATTATTAATATTTCTTTGTACCCTTGTTCATGATCTTTCATTAGGAAAATCATTCTAGCAATAAATTAATAATTCAAGCAACCTTGGTCCCAGCACTGTATTTTCATCTATCTGGGCTTGTGCCTGTGGGTTTGGTAGTAGCAGAAGAACAATGGGAAGAGGATCTTGTCATCTTCATCTGGTCCTGTCTCTCTTGTCTTTTGCCTGTCCAGTTTATATAAGGAAATTTGCACAAATCTAACTTTGATTTATTGCTCTTTTCTTTCTTTCTTCTCTTTTTTTCTTTCTTTTTTTCTTTTTTTTTTTTTCTTTCTTTTTTTTTTTTTTTTTTCTTTTCGCTTTTTTTTCTTTTCTTTTTCGCTTTTTTTTTTCTTTTCTTCCTTCCTTTTTTTCTTTCTTTTTTCCTTTTTTTCTTTCTTCCTTCCTTTTTTTCTTTCCTTCCTTTTTTTTCTTCCTTCCCTTTTTTCTTTCTTCCTTCCTTTTTTCTTTCTTCCTTCCTTTTTGCTCTCTGTCTCTTCTTTTTGCTCTTCTCTCTCTTTCAAGACACTCATGACCTTCTTTAGTCTACTAACAGAAGGCCGCCTTTGAAATGCAATCAAACCCATGGATTAAATTTCTCTAACAATATGAATATTTGTGTAGACTAATAGTATATAAATAAACATGGCCAGAATTCTTCCTTGGAATTGGGGAAATTTTAGAAGACTATAAATCGTGTCATGCTGCCCCAGAAGTAACTTGGTTAGTTGGTTGAGGAAGATCACGTCTTACTAAATCTTAATGAATTTTATTTGGTTTATTTCAGGTTCAAATGTTCAAAACACCTTTTTATGACTTAAAATTTTTATTTTTTTTATTTGCTCTTTCTTTCCTTTTTCTCTTCAACACTTAATTATTTGAGTTTTTTCCCTCAGTTTAATCTTAATTATTTCCGGCTTCAAATTGTCATTAGGCATTCTCATGGATTAAAATGCTGAACACTGGTTACCACTCTGTAATATCCTTCATGCAGTAAAACATTGAACCAGAGTTACCACCCTGTTATAATAGACTCAGAAAGCAAAGCTGTTTATTATGGACCTTTATTTCCTCTTTTCTTTTTTTCTTTCTAACTTATATATTGCTTTTGGGTATGCCACATCATATTTTAATTCTCTTGACTTTTATTTGTCAAAACACAAATCTGAGTGGTTTTATTTTATTAATAATCAATGTGCAAAAGTGCTTCCCAAAATTTGCTACTCCAGCCTAATGAGCTGTTTTTGTTTTGTTTTTGTTTTTTTCTTAAATCTTATCACCCCAAAACAAGATCCACTAAACCACAAGGTGTTACTGAGATTGAAAGAGACAGAAAAAATGTTGCTAAGGAGAGAGGTCAATAAAAGAAAAGGATTCAAGGAGACCGATGTTTGTCATTGCATTTAAATTTTTGAAGATTGTAGTTGACAGGAAAACAAGAAGCCAAAAAAGTTCCATAAATGAGAAGTGCAAGAGAAGAAACTATTAGCATAGAATTTAAGGTTACATCTAGTAATTTCAACAGTGAAACCTAGCTACTAATCTAGTACTGTGCTTAAATTCATGAAGTTTAGGTACCAAAGAGAAAAGCTTATCAGAACAGTTACCATGAAAGCATTTATAGAAAAGTTACAGGGATGCTATGTTACAGTGGTGGGAAAGTGACTGAAATCAAGATGCCAGGTCAGGACCAATAACACTGCAGATTCTTCTTTGGGTTTTATCAAGAATATATATATATATATATAGCAGAAGCACTAGGCAAGATCTGGCATGAATGAATGGTAGCTTTATAAATGTGCAAGTTCTGGCATTGGAAATAGTCTAGCATGACACTGTGAACCAAACCATTATTATTAGGAATTTTTCCTGACCTATCTTGCACCGAATAAGTTATGGGCAATGCATTTGATATTTCAGCTTTTTGACGTCTGTTGAGTAAAGAGGGGAAAAAGAACAATATATATATTTTTTTAATGTTCATTCAGATTAAAATAAAGACAGTTCATTGATTTGGGATTTATTTGCAGATATAATCAACATTAAAAATATCACATTCTCATAAATTTATAACTTTTTATAATTTTTTATTTTTATCTTTTGTAAAGAAAAATAATTTTTTTGTTGAATGAAAGAGAAGAAATTAGATTTACTTAAGGTGCAAGCAAAACCAAATGAAAAGATTTTTGTAGCTCTTCATACTGAGGGTACCTAGTTGGCAGTTTTCTGGTTGCTGTTCTTGACTGGTAGTTAGGAGCTCAAACTCTTGCATAGTGTCTTGAGAGGCTGCTCTGATCAACAGTTGCATAATATTGGGGTTCATGCAGTGCTATGTCATGCATGGAAGGGTATCCCTGCAAGTGCCTCCAGTGGGCAACCCAGAGGCCACATTATGTTGCAGTCTGCGCCAGTTCCCTTCCTACACATGCTACATTAGACGATTAACTGCTACTACTACCCTAGACCTTTCCTTACCAAAATAACACATCATGACTACAAACAACAAAAGTTATAAACCTAAACTAGCTCAACAAAAAAACACCTAGACCCCCTCAACCTTTCTTTCTCCAACATTTGTGATATTTGTACCAACTTCTGCAGTATGCAATTGTTCCTCTTGGAAAAATCTTTGGACATCCTAGCTTTCTGTGAAACTAAGCGTAACACATCAATCCCTTCCTCTGATTTCTCAATTCCTGTCTACCTTCCTCTGCTTAGGAAGGATGCTAATGTCACTATGCATGGCCTGGGAGTTTGTCCATGAACATCTCTTGCTGGCTAGGGAACTCTCCTTACATGTGTCTCTGTCTCTCTCTTTTCTTAGCTATCTCTTTCTCTACTGTTCCCCTTCCTCTCATAACTGTTGTATGCTAGATAGTATTTCTGATAATATAGATAAGGCCATCTCACTACACGCATTTGCAAATATATTTGTGTTCGGTGATTTTAATGCCCATCATAATGGTTGGCTTAAACACTCTGTCACTGACCTTGATGGCATCCAAACCCTTAACTTCTCAGTCTTTCATGCATGTGGTTGACTTCCCCAGTAACCCTGACAAACACGCTCTTTTTTTAAATCTCTTTTTTTACCTCTATCTCTGACTGTGTCATACTATGCAGCTCTTCTCTTAGCAACTTTGATCATGCCGTAGTGTCTGCTTTCTGCTCCCCAACCAGCCAAGAACCTCTTACCAATAGAATATCTTTCTGTTATCAATAAGTAAATTGGGACTCATTTCATGACTTTGTGATGTCCCTTGGAATGAAGTTTTCAATTATCCTGTTCAAAAATACATGTCTGAGGTATCCTCTTGGGTAAAATCTGGCACTGATGCTTTCATTCCAACAAGGAAATATCAAGTTAAATCACATTCATCTCCTTGGTTTTCAACTGCAAGCTTATAGCCCACAGGAATCGCTTCTTCCAGCTGTACCAGAGTGACATGTCTGGTTGCAACAGACATCTCTTTGTCTTTGCTCACAATGAGTACAATTGTATCCTCAATGAAGTGAAGTTACCGTTTGCTGATAGAATGAAACAATGTATAGCATCTTGCAAGTTTGGTTCTAGAGATTATTGGCGGCTCTGCAATAGTGTGCTGAACAACAGCAAATCCTCAATCCCTCCCTATTCAATCAATTTTAAGTCCTGACATCTACAGCAGATAAGGTTGAATGTTTTGCTTGGAAATTCTCTTCCAACTCAACACTCAACTCATTTGGAGTATCCACACCTGATTTTATCCCCAAGAACAGAGGCTTTACTGAGTTGTATGCACATAACCCCATCATTGGTCACAGACATCATTCCTAAATTAGACTCCCATAGTGGTTAATCATCTTATCTCTCATGATAAAATATGGCTTCCATTTTGCCTGGTCTAACACTGATGTGTTTATAGTTATCACTGAATATGTTTATCAAGCTCTTGATAATAGCAATGATGCTCAAGCTGTGGCAAACGCATTTGACAGGGTTTGGCATGCTGGCCTTCTGTATAAGCTCCAGGGCTACGGTATTACAGGACAGTTCCTAAGTAGGCAGTTACACAGATGACACTACCATTTACTCCTGTCTCAATAGCAAATCCATCAGAGCTGACAAAATTAATGGCTGCTCTTGAAAAGTACCTCAAGGAAATGGCTCATAAATTTTAATGCCTCCAAAACTAAACTGCTCTCATTTAACCACCATAGAGAAACTTTCCTGCCCACCATCAGCATGGCTGATGCTCAGCTCCTGGAGAGCAACACACTGTACCTTCTTGGCCTTATGTTTTCAAATGACTTGAAATGGAACAACTACATTGAATCAATAGTTGCATCTACTGCAAGGAAAGGTGGGTCACTGTCATGCCAGAACGTTTTTCTTGTCAGTCCATCTTACACATTTACAAATCTACCATTCGCCTAGGCCCTGTCGGCGGGGCTTCAGAATACGCCGACTGCACCTCTGCAGGGGGTAAAAGTCCCCCAAGGGGGCCACCTGTTTGCCGTGGGTGGCGACCCGTGATGTTTGGGGACGGGATCCTGGTGGCTGAGCAGGTCATGACCCAGGTGATAAGTGGTCATTAACTGCAACACTCCACTTTGGCCCTTACCTGAGCTAGACGGGCGGTCGGAGAGGCCCACTCCGATCAATCGGCTGGTCATGACAAGCCCTAACACTCAACCCCCCCCAAAAAAAAAAAAAAAAAAACTTGTGTATTAGTATAATTGCCAATTTATCCTCCAAAAAAAAAATGACATTTATTAAAAAAAAAAAAAAAAATAAATAAAATATATATATATATATATATATATATATATAATAATAATAAACTCCCCACATGAGTGTTGGAAGGCGGTGGCTAAGGGTCAATCGATTCTGAGGAAGAAGGCCACAACATGGCT